CAGTCGCTGGACCATCGGTGGTTACGCGTCCTGTTTTCAGCAGCCGTATACGGGGTAGTACAGAAATGAGAGATAAGGCTATACTTATACGCACTGGATGGACGGATGCATCGCATGCGTGCATGTTTAATTTCCCTGGGATCCACACATGCAGATTTCAGGCCGTATCGTCATGTCCATCACATGACCCAGTGCGTATCGACACGCAGGGACCGTGTCTCCTCGCAGTCCAGAAAACCGGTTTCAGATGACCATCATTGCTGTTTCCGTGTGGCTATACAGGCCTTGATGATCCGCACCGAACGAATCTGCCTCTTAAACGGCCGGCGTCGCGAGTGCGCGTTTATCTCGACGGCGACGCGCGGTCGGGGTCAGGGCGAAGGTTTCGGGCCGCTGGTCCTGCTCCTGCGCGGCGAAGCCATCCGGTGGCCTGCCGGGATTGCACGTCAAGCAGATTTCGCCCAGGAATATTTCGCGTAGGATGAAACGGCAACGTCAGGTCCAGATCTCGAGCTCAGAGGTCTCGGGTCAGATGTGTTAGGATCGAATGTGTGTACCTCACTGTGACCCGTAGATCCGGTTAGGCTCCTTGCCTGTCTCTGTTGCAACGCATCGGCAAGCGTAGACACCGATGCCGTCGGTGTAGTAGACGTCGTAGTGGCGAGGAGGTGAAGTCCAGTGCTGGTACTGTAGTGGTCCGATGGTGGCCCTGCAGTAGGAGCGACGGCGGTGGTGGCGGGCTCATCCCGTCGCTAGCAGCACGTCTTTAGATCGGATTAGGGTTTTCTTTGGTGGGTGTGGCGGCTCCGGCGAACCTCGTCTCGAGCTCGATCCCCACCTTCTCTATTTGTATGTGCTGTGCGACAGGGGCCCACTAACCAGTTAGGGTTGGGCTCCCCCGATCAGGAAGCAGAGCCAAGGGCCCAATAGGGCCTATTGGTGAAGATCAACTAACAAGATGGAAAGTTCCCGTCCGGAAACAGGGCAATGTGCCTTGCTTGCTTTCGCAAGTCAGAGCTGCGAGCATGCCCAAATGGTCTCGGTATGAAATCTTACCGGTCAATGCACCGTCACCGACTCACCGCACGTGATGGAGAGTTGGAGACAGTTCTCTTTACGTCGGAGGGGAGTACGATACGAATCGCTTCCATGACGTGAAATACGGAAGCTTCTCCTGAACCCTATATACCATTTCCTTCCCGGCAAGTCTGTCTGTATGTCTGTCAGGTTGCACATCACCACCTGATAAAAGGAGCAGTCGTCACTCGTCAGAAAGAGCTCACAGAGTCGATGGGAACGCATCAGATTGCTCTGCTCTGTAGTCAAATGCACATGCGCCTTTTGTGGACTGGTGGTACATATAGCCTTTTGCCCTTTTCGGTTCATAAATGGTTGGGAGCATGATTCCCTACCAGTTACAGTTACAGTTACAGGACGCAGTTACCGTGGACACTGGCAGCCGACGCAGAACGGCGCACCGCGACAGCGCGCGGAGCTGCGGCGGTACCGCATGCATGCTACCAGGACGAGATCATGGACCGTGAGCAATGCAAAGCACGAGAGTCTCTTGTACGATCGACGACGCACGCGTGATTCTTTCCCTTTCTCGGAGCCAACAGGGGTTGTTTCAGCAGCAGCCGCCAGCAGGCTACGGGCTACCTATCTACTGTATCTGCCCGTGGTGCGTGCATGCGCCAGAGACCCAGCAAGACGCCACGCACGGCACGCCCGTGTGCCGCGCGTCCCCACGGGCCACGGCCGGGCCGGCGCCCGGCGCCCCGCATAAAACGCCAGAAATGGGCGTAGGTTCCCGTGACTTTCTGCATGCGCACCTGCGGACGCAGCGTACGAGCAGGCGGTGCGCGGCCGCGGCGGCCCGGGCGCAGTCACGGGCCGACGGGTGCGTGCCGTGCCGTGCCGACGTGATTACGTGAACGTGACCACGCGCGTGCGCGTCCCGCCGCGCGGAACCGAGGCCCGAGCCCCGAGCCCCGAGCCGGTGGACGACCCCGTAGTTGGTTCCGGCGTCATCGGTGCCGTCTAACAGCAACGTGCCGGGTGGGCACCGAATCCGTTGCCGCCCGGCGTCGCTGTCAGCCGGTGCGACGCTGTGGGTCGTGTGCGATGCGAGGTGTTGTGCGTAGTGGGCAAGAGAAGCCGTTGGAGTCTTGCAGTTGCAGATGGATGATGACCCGAGCGTTGCTGGCTCGTCACTCATGCAATGCAGGTACTGAAAAACGATCCCGGGAGATGCACGGCTGCCATGTTGACTATAGTCAGGCTAAACTGCTAGTTCTACCACCAGCTAATGCTATCTGCATCTGCATGCCATTGTTATTTTCACCTCTCAGAGTGTACTTTACCAACATTTTGATGTGTGTTTATTTATCACACATCACGCGTTTTGTGTTCATAGTGCCAGTCTACTCATACGGAAAGTGCCAGTTATTTTAATCTGTGGCATTACAGGATGCGGGTTCATCATCGAGTCAGTATAGGATAGAGATTATGCAGCAGGCACAGGTTAGTGGCTGGTGGGTCTCCCTTGCTTGCGATAAACTCATCGCGGGTCTGATATCCACTCATCAACTCTGAAAAACGTCGCTGCAGAGTAGTAGAGCAGTGATATTCTACCAACCTCTTTTGATTTTTTCGGTGTCCAAGGCTCCCAGCTGCCAACCTAGATCAGCATGGCCTGCACTGCTCTGCAACTGCAACATCCATGATCCATCAGCACAGAGGTCACAGCTGTCTGGGAAACATCATGCGTGCTGTTCTTTGTAGCACCTCATGATCGAGAGAGATATCCAGGATTTCACTAGTACAAATCAAATAACACCATGTATATATATTTTTGTCTTCTGGATTCTTGTTCAGAGAAATCGGCCGGTGCTTCCTCCAGTAGTCCAGCGTACGCTGCACTTTGGAGCACATATTCTTACAAAGTTTTTTTTAAGTACATAAGAAATGCTATACAGCACATATGTGTTTTAGAAAAAAAAAGCACATGGATTTTTTCTCCCTCTCTCCCTCTCTCTTTTCAACTGTCTTCTCAGCCTCGAGGACGACTTCTCCGTGAACTCCCGCAGCGGCGTGACCAACTCGGCTCCCACGGAGGACCAGCGCGCCAGCCAACCAAAGGACCGCCCATCCTATATGCGTATACGCGTGCGGCCGGAGGACCGCCTGTCGGACGCCCGATTTGTCCTTGCATAAAAAAATATTTCTTGTGATACGTGGATCTGTAATCTTATGATTTGTGATTGTCTGGAAGTAGAAGAAGGTTGGAGGTAGAAGAATGATAGAGGTTCTTGGATCTTAATTCTATAGTGCAAAAAAATCCATATATTAAAATTGCATAAAACACATGGTTGTTGGGTGACTCAAGTATATTCTGACAAATTCTAGCTACTGGGTACCAGCGACGGAGCCAGCGGTGGGGCTGGGGGGCTCTAGCCCCCCCCTACCGATCCTGTGCACGTGGAGCCCCCCTAAGCCTTTTCTTAAAATTCTATACATATATGTATTAGGTAGAAGGGCTAATGTTAAGAGAAGATAAAAAAACCTTTATTCTTTTGTTCAGCCTCTCCTAATTTTTTTTCTGGCTTCGTTCCTGCTGGGTACCGCACAAAAGTGCAGAGCTTCAGTATTTCAGACCTAACTTTGAACGTATTAGCTGTCGAGCCTTTGGGATCCTAATGGATTAGATCCAGCACAAGCATTTTATCGTAAGGTGCAGCGAAACGATCCATTTAATTTTAATCGAGTCGTCCGCTCTCGTACGTGTCACGAACCCAGCGTTGTACGTTCCACTTATGAGCGGCTTGAACTATTTCAGCAAAGAAATAGTGTTTTTCTCTCGTAAAAAATCAGCACAGCATCAACGTTAAAAGCAGCATCAGCCAAATTTTAGCGAAACGAACGGGGGCAAGGTGTCAGACCCCGTAGCCTGCATTCGGTTGCTCCGTGACAAGTCCGGTTGTATCTTCCGTTGTCGCGTCGTGCTAGCCGATCGAATATCAGAACGTGCTCGATCGATCCGGCATGTCGTATGGGACCGAAGTGCCACCGCCGGAGAATGTTCACTTCCCCAGAGAAGACACTGTTGGATCTTCAGATCTGGAAGACGAAGGTGCTGGTTAATCGTCGTATCCCGATCTGATCCGTCGCTTTAGGCCCACCTTCAAGTCTTCAACTACGAGGCCTAATTCGCACAACCAATTGTTAATCACGGCCGATGGTGCCGATGATTAGAGCTTTTCTGAGTGATTTACTAGTCAAATCAAGTCCTGATAGTGCCACGTACAACAGCGCCAATATTAGACGACAAATGGACACACAAAAAGTTGGAGCTATAGGTATGCAACATGCCATATCGACGTGCTGGGGTATCGGACATAGATCGGCGGAAGCAGGGCGAGCCGACAAGTGCCCCACCCAGCTGCAGGCGATGAGGACGTGGGAAGGAGCGGTGGAAGCTAGCGAACCGTGGACCCGTGGTCGCCGGAGGGTGAGATGAGATCATGAACATGGCAAGGCAAGGCATGGCAGCAACGCCCTGCTGTGAGTTTCAATCAAAAAAAAAAAGCAACGCCCTGCTGTGTCTGCATGGGATGCATCCATTTTTTTTTTTTTGAGAAACATGGGATGCATCCATCTGATCCATATTCTCTGGGCGGGCCTTACCGCCCGCCCTTACAAGGCCCATGTAAGTTCGCAGCAGATCTCGTTCAACGATACCAGCGCCGGCCCAGACTGGCTCAGAGTCACAGAGCCCCCTGCCCTGCTGCTCCTGCGGACTGCGGTCCTGCTCCGCCTACCGGCTACCGCCGTCGCCGCCTAAAACCTCCCCCCAGTCCCCCACCGCTCCGCGCACGTCTCTTCGTGCCGCCGGTCGCCGGCGAGTAGCAGGGGGTCCGTGCCTTTGCGTTGTAAAGGATTTCGTCGTATTGGCTGAACCTCCCTTTGCCGAGGAAGAGCACAAAAGCAGGGAGGTGGGCATGGCGGAGGAGGTGCATCTAGGTCTGCCAGGTCCCTGGGCGGCGGATTACCGGGAGAAGGCCGACCACTACACCACTAAGATTGGTGGAGTTCCTGTATGTCTTTTGTGTGTACCTCTTCCTGGTTCTAGATTATGTTAGCTCATATGTTTTTGCTTAGGAATTGGAGGACGTGCTTATGCCATGCATCTTCTTCAGTTAACCCACCACGATTATAAGTTTTACTTGATGACTCTTCTCAGAGTAGAGAGATTTTTCTGAGGGATCATAAGCAATGGGGCATCAGTAATTGAACGCGGAGCTCATTTTGAGTCTGTTTGCTGATTTTTTTTTTTCCTGCAGGATTGGCCAACTGTTGATATGGGCATTAAGCCCGAGACTCTTCAGTGCAGCTTATGTGGGACCAAGCTTTGTCTTGTTGCTCAGGTGAGTGCCTGTCAATTTAGCAAGATTTTACTAGTTGAACTTTATGTCAGTCATGTTAGGAAAATGAGTCTTGTGGTGCTTGGGCACAGGCTTATAAAGTTACAAGCTTGCAACTCTCTGACTTAGCATTGCAAACTACTCGTATGTTTTACATACTGATCCGTGATGGTACAGAACGCTAGTATTTTGATACTAGTACTTTTGCCTCGCCCTATTTGCCTCACCCTATTTAATGCCGTTCCTTGTAAAAAAATTAATGTTGTTCTAACCTAAGGTACATGCACCCGTGGCAAAGCTAAACATTGAGGAGAGGATAATCTATGTGCTTGTTTGCTCGACACCACAATGTGGACCTAAACCTCAAAGGCAAGTATATGCTAGTTGATTCAGTCTGTTTATTAGATATCCAGACCTTTACATAATTTTAAGTCAGTATGTCTTTTCTCCTTTTTGTTTCCCTTTTTCTTCTTATAGTTGGAAGGTCCTAAGAGTTCAAAAATGCCGTAATGTTATGCAAACAGAAGGTGGTGGCGATGAATTAGGCCAATCGAATGGACCTCCTTCTACAAGTGTTCCAGAAGAACAAAATGATAAAAATAAAATTCCTGAGATTGACGATGACGATTTTGATCTAGATGCCTTAGCCGAAGCTCTTGAGCAAGCTGCAACTTTGGCATCTAACTCAAAGAAGAAGAATAAATCGAAGCATGCTAATGCTCCTGTAAAATGTCCTGTATTGAAGGAGCAAGCATGTGATCCGAGCATACCAGGTGAGGACAAGTTTGAAAGAACTCGTTACCATGTATGAAAATCTGAGTGTTTTGATCTGATATAATTTTTGTTGCAGTTCTTCCTTGTTTTTACATATATTATGATAAGGAACTATTTGGGGGCAAAGGCACTGTGGGTTCAAGTAGCAGTGAGTTGGTTTTGGACAAAGAAATCATGGATACCGCAAATGATGAAGAAGAAAAATGGGAAGGAGAAAAGTATGAGTACGATAAAGCTATTGGTGCTGACAGAACTTTTTTAAAATTCAAGAAACGGTTGGATGCATATCCCCAGCAATGCTTTAGGTAGTTAAACATTTAGTTCATATAGTATCATTGCAACCTGACTTGGTATTTGCAAACCATTTGTTTCTTGTTCTTTTTTGGTTTGCACAACCTGAATTAAATTTTGGCATGCAATATTTCTTTAGGTATTCTTATGGTGGCAAACCACTGATGGCTACGACAAAATTACAAGATCCTGGCACCTGTAGGCTGTGTGGTTCACCACGGCATTATGAACTGCAATTGATGTCTCCTTTATCATACTTTCTCCATGAAGCTGGAGACGGTTCCTCAAATTATGCACCCAGCAGCTGGACTTGGCTGACTGTTATCATATACACTTGCTCCAAGGTATGTCTTATTCTTCAATTTTCTGATACTGAAGTCTAAGGAATTCTGGGTGCCCGAAACGTGATCCCCAGATAGTAGTTCTATTTCAAAAATTATTTGATCTACAAAGTACACCACAAAGAACATTGTATCGTCAAAGCATCACTTCAGCTTTGTGTGGTGAAGAGATTTCTGTGTCCTTGATGTTCTAAATGTACTTTCAGAATTGCTAGCAGATATGTTGTCTGAAACATCTGCCAGGATTTAATCCAGTTTAAAAAGTAGATTTTCAATGGTACTGTACCATTTTCCCAGACAAACAAATTTCTGGTTTGTGAGTTTTGTCAGATTCCATTTTGGCTCTAGGAACATCTTTAGTGATCCACGCTATGGCATTCTTGAAAGTTCAGTGGGCATCTACATGTACATAGTTGTCATTGTTTAGTATTTCTTCTTCTTGGTACTGGGATGAAACCAGGCATTGTTCATTGCATTCTTTTGTTTACAGTTCTCCATTTTGCAATATTCCTTAGCTTGTTTCAATTTACTGTAGAACTGCTGCCTGTCCTCATGCGGTGGAAATCCTCAGAGTTGTTGCTGGGGAGTAGCGGAGGAGGAGATCCTGATCCAGGAGGATGAAGTCCGTTAGGATCTAACCAGTGCCACTTGAGAAACTATGCCTGATTTGAGTGTGTGATATACAGTTTTTGTTTTCCAATTGTTAGAGTTGTAAAGCAATCTGCAATTTTGAAGTGTGTTTTGTGGATGCTTTTACTGTGCCCTAGTATCCTGCAGCCTGTCATAGTTCACACGATTTGATCTATTGTAAGTTCGCACAGTATCACATCAGACTAGCAAAGATGTTTGTCTGTGTGGCTATGATTTTCCGCTGGAAAATCATTTTACCCTGTTTCATTGGTGCCTGAATTGTCAACTCCAATCAAGGGGGCCATGTTACGCCTGATGAGCATCAAAATCCGGTATGTTCTACGTTCTTGCGTTAGCCTGTAAACCCACCAATCCATGCTGTCCATGTCTAGAAACTTCTCTTTTTTTCACTCAAAGAAAAGAATCTAATACTTATTTTTTGCTTTCTTGGGCCTGATAATAATAATTGCAAGAAAGCAGTACTATTCTGGATTAAAGTACACCAATTAAAGTGATAAACCCGTACCGCAGCCCATATGTAATGTAATGAACTGCATAATTCATCAGCTGTATTATTCTCGTCGCCAACCCTACCTGCACCGACGTTGATGCTTCATTTGCAACTTGGTTTTCGGATCGCCGGAACGCTGCCAGCCAGGCTGCACATAAATAAATTAGCCATAATATTGTAGTAGGGATTTTGCAACCATGTTTTCTCCGTTTGAAGAGTCTCTACCTACGAAAAGGATGTGTAGTATTATACTCCACTCACGCCTGCTAATCTTTTTGTAGCTGTGCTGAGTTCATCGGGGAAAATAAACATATGCTCGGGGACTGTACCAAAATTAAAACTGATCGCTGTGTATTGTATTGTATAGGACCAGCATATATATGGTTTATTCGCCTCTTGTGATGGAGGTCTCCTCCACCCGTACTCAGTACGTCGACGTCCGAGATGTTCCGAGTCCAAGACGGCACGCCGCCGCCTGACCTGACGGGGAGAATACGAACCAACATCTACGAAATGCGGCGCCTCGCCATTGGACGGGCCAGGTAAACTCCTCCGCCGGACATGGCGCCATGCCTCTGGCGTGCCCGGGGCCGGTGGGCTCGGCCGTGCGTGCGGTGGTCGAATCCTGGGCTGCCTTGCGGACGCCGAGAACCAGAGGGGATGGTTGCTTGCGATTGCGACTCCTACGTACGCAGTGCGGTGGCCGAGCAGTGGGGGATGGGAGTGTTAGTTGATCTCTACCTATTGGGCCCTTATATCTGCTCCTTGATCGGAGGAGCCTAATCTTAATCTAGTTGGTGGGCCTCTGTCGTATAGCACACATAAAAGAAAGGTGGAGGTGAGGGCTCGGACTACGAGGTTCGCCGTGAGCCGCCACTCCCACCTATAGTAACCCTAAACCGATCTAAAGACCGTGCTGCCAGCGACGGGATGGGCCCCACCACCGCCGTCGCTCCCCCTGCAAGGTCTACACCGGCCCCTCTGGACCACCACTGTACCTCGCCACCGAGCCAGAGCTGCCTCGATACCGGTGTCCGCGAGGTCACGACGCTATTGTCCAGGGCAGATCTACGGGCTACACGCAGAGGTACTAATCCTACGATCCTAACAATGGTATCAGAGCCGGTTGCCTTTGTGTAATCCTAACCCTAACCGGGTAAAAGCAAAGAAAAGGGACCAGGGGTGGCGGATGTCACTGGAACCCGGTCACCACCGTCGCCGCGCGGGGGAAGAAGAGCACCGCCGTCCTCACCGGCACGCAACAAGAAAAGAACAGATCCTTGTTCGGATCAGAGAATAGAAAGAGGAAAAGGATCTTAAGAACCTAACCCTAACCCGCGCAAATAGCTCGGGGAAGAAGAAAAGAAAATGTTTCGGCCTTAAGATGAACAGAAGTGAAACAAAAACAGATCCAAAAAAGGAGAAAGGGAAAGGGGAACGGAAAAACCTCGCCGGGCGTCGGGAAAACCCTTCGCCGGCACGGGAGAAGAAGACCGAGCCGGGCTCGGCCAAGGGGTCACCGCGGCCAGGCCGCTCGACGGCGGCGCGCCGGCGAGGGGGCCGGCGGCGGTGCCCGTCTCGCTCTCGGTTGCTCTCGGTTGTAAGCTGCGCTGAGAAGAGATGAGGTAGAGAGAGGAGAGAGCGGTGAAGAAGAGAGAGAAGCAGACGAAAAGAATGAAACTAGGGTTCGGGAGGACACGGCCGTCGACGGGTTTTTATTCATCCGAAATGAACGCTCGGCCGTCCAATCAGATCCGATCAGATCCAATGGCGCCAGATGCACGGGCCGACTCGCAGCCCAGGCGGGCGCGCGCGGTAGCGCGACTTTGCCGGCCCAGGCCCAGGTTGCGGCCTGGGTGCGGCCTGCGCGCGCGGAAAGCTGGGCCGAGCCGGCGAGCCAGTTTTGGGCCAGCCTGAGAGTAAGGCTGGGCCGAACTGTTGCCGGGGTTTTGAGCCCAAAACGAAGGAGTCTTTTTCATTTTTATTTCCAGAAAAGTTTTTCTTCCTAGAAAATTGAAAATGCAAATTGGCTCGAAAGAAAAAAAAATAGAAAAAGGTATTTTACCTGTGGGTAAAATTCAAGAAATTGAGTATACGTTTTCCGCTGCTAAAGAAAAAGTACATTCTCCAGTGATTTTGAACAGACGTGATATTTAACTAGAGAAAAGAAAAGTTTTTCCAGTAAATATTTATTTCCTGGAAATTGATTAATAGATTAAAGGAAATAGAAAATACAATTTTTCCTTGTGGGTAAAATTCAAGAAAAGGAGAAGTTTTTCCACAGCTAGAGAAATTGTTTATTCTTCAGTTAATTTGTACCAATGTGGTATTTAATTGGAGAAAAAGAGATTTTTTCCGCTGCTAAAGAAATGTTGATTCTCCAATTATTTTGAACCAATGTGGTATTTAATTGGAGAAAAAAAGATTTGACATTATTATGATATTGTTATTTTCTGACCAACGTTGTTAATAACAATATCGTAATTTTAATGATTTATGCATTAATTCTACTTCTGCCCAACGGTGATGTAGAATTAGTGTATAAGAAAAGTTGATAATTTTAATAATTTCTGCATTAATTCTACTTCTGCCCAACGGTGATGTAGAATTAGTGTATGAGAACAGTTGTAAAAGTTAATGATTTATGCATTAATTCTATTTCTGCCTAACGGTGATATAGAATTAGTGTATAAGAATAGTTGTATGTTTTGATTTTGACCAACGTTGGAATCAAGGCATGCAAATGGTGTTAATTTTATGTTAAGAAAAGTTTTGACCTGGTTTTCATCTTGTCTAAGATGGACTGCGTAGTCATCTCACCGTGTTCCACTGAGATTATGGCACCGGTGAGGGAGACAAAAGAGAATGATGCCACTTGGGCAACTAAAGAGAGGGATTTTGAATCCCAAAAGATATCCTATGACTCCTTGGGTATAGGAAATGAATCACTACCAACAAGAAAAAATTTGGCTATGATAAAGAACATGATTGAGCTTGCAATTGTGGGCTCAATCTCAGAGTGTGACACGGTCACCGAGTACCTCGATAGAATAAAGAGTCAGTTCACTGGCTCTTCAAAGACATGTGTTATCCAGCTGATAAAGCAGCTGGTGACAGATAGTCACTCTGTAATGGTGGCATAAGAGAGCTCACAATGCGTCGTCGAAATCATGGCACTATCGTTCATGCCATATTTCGAGGGGAAGAATAGAAAGACTAGTTAAGAATGATATTCTTTCTCCATTAGAGCTCTCAGATTAAGAACAATGCAGAGAATGCATAAATGGAAAGTATGTAAAGAAAGATGACAAACGAAGCACAGGAATTTTACAGATTATCCACACTGACATCTGTGGTTGGCTTTCCTGTAAAGAGTGTGGATGGTTATGATTCGTTCATAACATTCACAGATGATTACTCCTATTATGGCTATATTTATTCAATCAAAGAAAGAAAAGATGTATTGGATAAATTTAAGATATTAAAGATTAAGATAGTCAGGTCTGACCGTGGAGGAGTACTACGGTCAGCATACCCTAAAAGAATAGCATAGTAACCCAGTATTCTACACCGGACGAACCTTAGCAGAATAGAGTAGCTAAAAGAATCAATCGCACCCTGATGGATATGGTGGGCAGTATGATAAGTTACTCCACCTTACAGTTAAGCCTATGGATGGAGGCGTTAAAAACCGCCATTCATATTCTCAATAGAGTATCAAGAAAGTCGGTACCCAAAATACCGTATGAGTTGTGGACATAAAGAGTACCCTCACTAAACCACTTGCGTGTGTGAGGGGGAGCCATGCTGAGGCTAAAGTATTTAACTCAAACATTGGGAAGTTAGATCCCAAAACAGTAAGGTGCCATTTCTTTGGCTACCCAGAAAAGTCAAAAGGTTTTCATTTTCTACTGTCCAGAGAGACATACAAAGTTAGTGGAAACGAGACACGCTGTCTTCCTAGAGGATGAATTGACGAGGGGGAGCATGGTAGCTCGAGAAATTGACCTTGAAGTGAAGCGGGTGTATGCACCCACTCCAATGATTCATAAGCCAATTTTTTCACTACCTGCTGTCGCTGCACCGACAGTGCTAGATACTGTGGTGTCAACACCTGTTATCCCACCTGTGGCAACAATGAATGACGATGAGGAACCCATTCTTCAGGATTCTATAGAACCTATTGCCACACATGAGGGGGAGCAACAACAGCCTCAAATAGAAGATGTGCCAAATGTGAAGGCCCCTAGTAGGTCTTAAAGAGTTAGAAAATCAGCTATTCGTGCTGATTATGAAGTGTACAACACTAAAGAATTTCAAATGGAGGATGATCCCATCTCATTTGAATAAGCCAAAGTGGCTTGAGGCCATGGAAGATAAAATGAAATCAATGAATGCCAATATAGTTTGGGACCTGAAAATAATTTCTAAAGGAGCCAAAACAGTAGGCTATAAATGGGTCTATAGAACAAAACTTGACTCTCAAGGGA